AACTGGTCCACATTAGCGCAAGAGGATTTCCAGGACCCGTCATTGAGTGCATCACAGACAGGCACTGACCTTTCCCAATTGTAAGGATGACCCACAATAGCTACCAGGCCAGTCTCACAAGAACTAAGAAAACACCACCAGCTAAGCACTTTCTATCCATTTTCAAGAAGTTCATTCTCAAGGAAAGATAAGGTGACATTTGAGAAAATCTATCTCTACATAGGGAAGCTAAGGAAGCTTTCAGAAGAGGTGGCATTTGAGTTGGACCTTAAAGGATGGGTAAAGTCTGCAATATAAATAAGTGAAAGTCTATTTTAGGCAGAAAAAAAGTAAATGGCAGTCCTATTAGATTAATCATTAAATACACAGGAAGAGGTAGCCATGGAGATAAGACCAAAGGAAAAAATTATATTGGATATACATTCTTGGGGGGACTGGCTCTTCCAGGGCCAGCTTAAAGAAATCACCCTAAGGTGCTTTCAAAATTTCAAAGTTATCATCAAAAAACATGTTTCCCTTAAAATTCCTCTAACAGGAGTAATGCATACGACAGATATAATAGGATTAAAATAGCAATGGACACCAAGCATATTAAAGCATATCTACTATTCAATCAATCTACATGTAAAAGTAACAGGCATCTGATTTCTCCTTTTTAATGAGAATAAACACATTAGACACCAAAAGTGAGATAAATAGGTCCCACTACATAGAGAAATGAGAATGAAAAAGGAAAAAGGAAAACTTTAATATAAAGTTTACAGGATATAAAACTTTATGTAATATAAAGTTGGTTGTGTTTAACTTAAAATAATCAGGTGAAAAGAGTTTACACAAAGGACTGGGGTGCATAATTTAGAAAGGAAAGAGTTTGTTGCAACAAAACTACTATTGAAGCAAGGTGCTTTATAGCAGATTTCTACCTCATTTAAAGCAAATCTAATGGCAATACTAATCACTAGCATAAGATTAGCATAATTACTACAGCAAATCTATTTAGTCTTTATTAAAAACTATTTAGGTGGAGTGTTTTTGTTTTAAAGAAAAGCATATAGAAATTAACGAGGTAGAGTCAATTAAACAACTATTACGATAATATCAATTCTTAAGGAGCAGGGGCATGGCTAGTTCATTCTAAGCACTTGTGGCTTGGATATGCCTTCACAGGAACAGGCTGTATCTATAGACTCCAACTCTCAGTTCTAGCCACTATCATGTCCCTAGCAACTAGCCCCGTGCTTTATACAGAAGGGCCTCAACTAGTGTCAATCAATAACAAATAGAACATAACTAGTGTTATAAAACCAAAGACCTTGCTTATACTTTACTTCATGAATGCTACTTGTGCATTTTTTTAATTCGTAAGACCCGCCTGATATGTCAAATATTTTGACTTCAGTTTCAAGGAAAATAAGTAAGCTGCCCATACCCTGGGGTGATCTTAAGGATGACAGTAAAAGAATCTGATCATCTAACCATAATCTAATTAACATGTTCTGTGGATCATGTGGAAAAAATGAGGAAAGGCTGTGAATGTATGCTAACAATGAGGACATGTGCTAACCTGAAATCCTAGAAACCTCATACACAGTCACTCAATATAACCTCATTCCAGTATGCCTGGTAGGTCTGTTTTTCATAATGTTTTGTAGCACAGAGATTTCTACTAATAACTTTGAGAACACTGGTAGTATCATGACCCCAACAGAGAATAACTAACCTACAACAAATATGCAAAGCCCTTCTAACATACATATCCCTACTTTGGACCTATTGCATGTTCATATATTGCAGGAAGAGAAAGACACTTCCTGGAATGAGAAGGCCTGACAAAAAATTTTTTAAAAACATGTTAGTAAATCTAAGACCAACAGCAATTCACAAATAGCAATAACCTCTCATATTACCGAAAAGTTAAATATTAACTCTACTTCTATCTACCCATCTTTCTATTTACCTACCTACCTACCTACCTACGTGCTTATTTTATCATCAAACTGAATGCACAAAATGCTGGAACAGGTAGTGATATACTCCAAGACTTCTAACCAAGAAAATCACCAAACTTCATGATGTATAAAAAAGAAACCACATTAAAACCTCCATAATTTTAATCTCCCTTAAACTCCCTCTTTAGGCATTTAAGCTGCATTTCGTAACTTCTATTGTTAGAGTAGGTAGTTAGGCAGACATGAGCACGGCAGGAGAGGGCCCCTCCCTAGGAACGTCAGGCGACCATAGGTGATGTTCAGACAGCTTAAACTGTTTCTCTAAAATAATTGGCGGCACCCGGCACCAGGGAAAGGCAATCTCTCAATAGATAGAAAACAACTGGAGCTGGTGATCAGCAGCTTCCTTATAAGGTCTCTGGAGTTGGCGAGAGGGCTCAGCATGCACACTAAGAGGCAAAATGGTGGAATTTAACTGGTATATACCTTCCTCTAGGAATCCTTGACTGGTAAGGGAAAAATGGCTCAAATGACCATGCACACAACTTTAGTAAACACACTGAGCATGTGGCCCCTCCCAAGTGCTGGCAGGCCACTGGGTACTGTGCATACAGAGAGCTCGCCCCAAAGGAAGAATCAGGGGAGAAGAAACACAAACCCCCGAACTGTGGCAACGCATAAAACCTCAAGTCAAGGTCCAAACAGGGCACCTGGATCTCTCCAGTCGCCCGCTTGGCCCTCTTCTAGGTGCACTTTGGTTCCTTTCACTCCTGCTCTAAAACTTTTTAATAAACTCTTACCCCAGCTCTAAAACTTGCCTCAGTCTCTCCCTCTACCTTAAACCTACTTCTGCCCCTCACCTGAATTCTTTCCCTGAGCAGGCAAAGATCAAGTTGCTGCAGACCCATACAGATTCACCGCTGGTAAAAGTATCACATAACCATTGCAAGAAGAAACTTTAAGATAAACTTTCAACATAGTCTTTCTCTTGAAATGAATCTTAGGAAACACCTACTTAACAGAAGTCCTTAGCATAAAGTCAAATGGCCAGTTTTATGCAGGAATCTTACATACTATACAATACTCTTCAGATTTCTCTGCATTTTGAAGCTTTCAACCATTTTAACAGCCCAGTCTTCATCCCTTGATTTCACCTCTTTACAAATCTTTGTATCATCGAACAGAAGTTACAGAAAATGTTGAGTACATGGGTTAAAAGGTAATGGGGACAACTTCCTCAAGCCACTTCATACTTGCTAATATCCCAACCCATAATACTGTTCTCCTCTCCCAAACTCTCAATGCGGCCCTAAACATTTTCCTAAGCCTTTCCTATATTAAGATTAACAACTCAAGCTCAAAAAGCACAGCTTCTGTTACAAGAATCACAAAAAACCTACTCTTTAGTATTTATCAATAGGCCTGCTTCTTACAATAGTTAAAGGCTCCAGAACACGAAGAATTATCCTAGCATACATATGAAAGAACTTAACATCTCGATAACCTAAAAGACAAGTTCTTTTTGAAATGAGAATTAACTAGCTATTTCAGTATACATGATACTTCACATACCTTTAGCTTTTTTTATGTACAGATTGACTCTTATGGAAAAACTAATAAAATGAGGAACTTTGGTCAGCTCAAAAACCTACATCATTCACATTATGTGCAAAATTAAGACCCTCAACTCCCCCAGACATGAGAGACTTCTTTAGATGTAGCTTTGAATATTCAAGCTCTCCAATGGTTCAGATCAATGGTTATTTTGTCTACTTTCAGTGTTTGCAATAAAATGGTCACCCATACTCTCTCCAAACAATATAAAATCTGATACAATAAATTCAAATAGAAAGGATGTACCTAAACAGTTTCTTTAGTATTTTCTAGCACTATAAGTCATACTAAACTCATTCTTTCATTTATTGTCATTAATAGCAATTATGTGACAGATACTGCACTGGGCACCAGAGACACAGTGACAAACGACATTATAGCCATTCAAATAACTACCTAATTATTAGTGGAGTGCTAAGAAAAAAAAGTTAGTGGTTAAATAATTTTTATGGTTTGAGAGAACTGATAGTACAATTATAATGTGAAATTTTAAGTTGACTAACTTAAACACAGCTCAATTTAGAATACCAAGAGTTCTCAGTGTAACCAGATTAGACAAAAAAAGTTCTTTATACAACATTACCTGTGATGATTTATTCCCTCTAGTATCACAACTATCTCAACTACAGATGTGAGCTTATTCACATATAAGGTTTGCACTTTAAGAAACATAAACATAATGTTGAGAATACTAAAGAATTCTGTGATAAGAAAGAAACAGGAATAACAAAAATGTGCATCAATGCATCAAGAATCAAGTTCTTCTGCCTTTCTGCTTTGGCCTAAAACTTCTACTGACAGCTCAACAAAAATGTTCCTTTCTGGAATAAAAAAAAAACCTCAAGATTTCATCGAAGAAGAGCAGAGATTCAAAACAGCAAATGATATTGAACATTATTTTCCAACCCAGAGATAATCCTATAAAAGTTAAAGAATAATGTAAATAGTTAATAAAACCTGTTTCTTACACAGTACCTTCCAACAGTATTAATTAATTCTGTGGCACTATCCCATTTTTAACCATACTTTTCAGTACCCCAAGAGATTCTTACATAGTAGCATCATTTTCTTTTTTGATTTTGCAAATCTGATCACCCTGCAGATATCTTATTATTGGATGCTGCAACAAATGAGGCATGTGGATGCTTTTCTGCTGTCACTGGTGCCAAAAATAATTTACACTTGAAAAAATACTTGTTGAGGATTCAGGCTTAATATCCACACTGTAGTTCTGAAATATGGTATTCTGTCCTTGGGGGTCCACATTTTGGAAATCACATTTAAACAGTTTAACAGGGAAGCAATGATAATTTATTCTAATAATTAATAATTGAATCACCTTATTATGAATTCCACTTTTTAGTCAGGTTTCAGGATATTAAGTCAGTCCCAAATAAAGTAAGAATGCAAAGAAATAGAAACGTTAATTAAGATTACCTTTGTTCCAAAGATGACGAAAATAGTTGTCCAAAGGCTGATTAAGAATTACAAGGCAGTACTTCAAAGTCCCTAGGAAAAAAAAAAAGGGAATATTAAATAAGTGAACTGAGTCTTTTGTTCCCCTTATATGAGTCTAAAATCATACCCTACTAGTCTAGATTTTCAGTATACATGGAGCTAAAGTCCAATCACAGTGAATTTCTCATAACTAAACTTTAAAAGGCATCATATATTAACAGGTCCTACTTTACTGAGTACATCTCTCACATTACCATATCGTTGAACAATGTATCATAGAAACAACTGTGTAACTTTCTGTGGGTGAGGAGCACAAATGTTCTTGATATGAATTCTCATCCTTCTAATACATCCACTACTTTGACACAACTATCCTTCTATCTGGCTGGTTTTATATCATCCTGACCTTACTTACCAAATGGTATGGGTCTAGTAGGTATGTATTTTCACATTCATTCTTATTCTTTTTCTCTCTTTCCTTCCACCCTTACCCTAACTTTAACCTTCCAAAGGAAAACCCTGTGTGCTTTCACAGATCCTACTAGGTCTTCTCATGGTTTTCTTATTCCAGTTTTTTACATGATACTCCAAAGACAAAGATGAAGAAAAGTTACTTTTCAGACAATCATTACATATCTTTTATAATGTACTTAAAATAGTGCAAAGCCAAGTGCAATCAGGTATTGAAAAACTGTCATTCAGTTCAGTCCAATCACCCTCCATTTTATTTGTGGAAAATAAAATGTTTAGGAAAAAATTTTTTAAGCAATTTCACTATTAGAAATGGAATATAATTAAATTAAAAGGGTGTGCCATCATCCATAGCAAATATTATTAAGTGCCAATTATATACCAGGCACTGGGAGTACAAAGAGGGACAAGATTACAAGCTATCTGTGAGATGAAACACTTACAATAAAGATGATTTATTCAAAATACAATATAACAGAAGCACCAGGAGGAGTGCCAGATAAACAGATAAATGAGTATGGCAGGAGTTCAAAGTCCAGAAAATCAATGAAGTCTGGTGTCAACCAGATTTTTGTCAAATGTAGATTTTTAAACTTGATCTTACAAAGCGAAAAAAGGTGCAAATAAAGGAAGGGGCTTTCTAGACAAGCAGAACAGCCCACCGGAAGCTGCTCTCCTTATCCATTAGGGTTACTCCAATGAATAGTTTCAGAAGCAATGCCCTAATAATGTGATGGTAGGACATTAATACTAACATCAGTAATTGTAAACATAATGTTTAAGATAACACAACTTAAATTCCTCTACAAAATGAGTGATGCAGTAAGGAGTAGTGAACACAATTTCTGTAATTTGGGAATCCATACAGAGATAATAGCTGAAGGTAAAAGAGCAGGCAAGCCACTGGGATATTGCACAAAGCTGGGGAGGGCAGAGAGAAGAATTAAGATGAAGGCAACACACTGTGTTTTCCTCACCGTTAACAGAGCTGAAGGAGGTCAACAGAGAACATATAGAAAGAAAATCTATAAAGGTAGAAGGATAAGAAGGTATTTCCAAGAACATGAAGTCAGTAACACAGTATGCTACAGAAATGTCAAGGAGATTGAACAAGAGGCCAAGGGGAGGGGGATCTCAAAGAAAAATATGAAAATTCATAGAGGGAGACTCCAGATAGTGAAGTGACCAAGGAATTAGTAAACAGTCAGGAGCTGATTAAGAAGGAAGAATAGTCACCTTTCCTTAAAATATAAAAAGTTAACTGTGAGAAGTGGAAAAGAAATGCAACAAAGTCAAGATAAAATATTTTAAATATGGAAACAAGCTCATATCCTAAATAGGGGAGGAAGTAAGAGGAAGAAGGAAAATTATCCATTTGTTCTTTTGAAAAGCAGTCAAGAGAAATAGCATGTCCCTCCCACCCCACCACCACCTGTAAGCCATATCTTCTACTAAAAAAAGAGAGACTGAGATTGATGCACATGAAGACACAGCATGTGCCTCAAAATTGAGGTTGATTTTTTTTTTTTAAGAGATAGGGTCTTGCTCTGGCACCCAGGCCAAAGTAAAGTGGTACAATCATAGTTCACTGCAGCCTCAAACTCCTGGGCACAGGTGATCCTCCCACTTCAGCCTCCTCAGTAGCTGAGACTACAGGTTCATACCACCATGCCCAGCTAATATTTTTATTTTTTCTAAGGAGCAGTCTCCAACTCCCAGCATCAAGTAATCCTCCACCACCCAAAGTGCTGGGATTGCAGGCGTGAGCCACTGCACCTGCCTCTATTTATTTATTTATTTAGAGCTGGAGTTTCACTCTTTTAGTGATTCTCCTGCCTCAGACTCTCAAGTAGCTGGAATTACAGGCACCCACCACCATGACCGGTTAATTTTTGTATTTTTAGTAGTGATAAGGTTTTGCCATATTAGCCAGGCTGGTCTCAAAGTCCTGACCCCCATCCGCCTGCTTCAGCCTCCCATAGCTCTGCGATTACAGGCGTGAGCCACCACATCCAGCCTGCACCTAACCCTATTTAAAACAAGGTAAAATAAAGAGGGGAGAATAGAGAATAAAGTGGAACATGGAACATTTTTTAAACAACTGCTGTAAAAAATAATTAAAGGACATCACAATCCACAATTTTAAAAATAGAAATCTAACTGGAATTAACTAAAAGGTTATATGAAATCATATCTGTCTATAATTTTTGCAATTTTCCCATTGATTATGAGGAGTAGACACAGGGGTAGGTGTAAACAGACAGGATGGTGATGATAGCTGGTTTTGAGAACTGACAAAATCACTTGCCAAGAGGTAAAGGGAATCCAGGATGTATATTTGGGCAGCTTTAGAATGAATGATTATGGTGAAGACCACTAGTGACCTCTTGTTTAGTAAGAGAATCCTGAGGGCTTTTTGGTTTGTTTACTGGGCCAGGTAAGAAAAAAAAATCATATTCCAGATATCCTTGTGGGAAAATGTGGTCATAAGGCTAAGTTCTGGCCAAAGAGAAGTATATAGCTTTCTATGACACCTCTAGAAACTCTCCTTAAAATAAAGGGGGATTTGTCTTCTACTTCTTCCCTTCCTCCTTCCTGCCATCTGGTGGCGGGCAGATCACAAGGTCAGGAGTTCAAGACCAGCCTGACCAACATGGTGAAACCTGTCTCTACTAAAAATACAAAAATTAGCCAAGCGTGGTGGTGCACCCCTATAATCCTAGCAACTCAGGAGGCCAAGGCAGGAGAATTGCTTGAACCTGGGAGGCTGAGGTTGCAGTGAGCCAAGACTGCCCCACTGCACTCCATCCTGAGCAACAGAGTGAGATTTCCTCTCAAAAAAAAAAAAGAATTGATAAATTCACTGAATGAAATTCTAGTAGCCACTTTGGATCATAAGAAGAAGGGCATCAGAGTAAAGAAGCTGCGTTGCTGACCACTTCATGCATCTTGCTCTATTCCCACACTTCACTACCTGCTTAAAATCTTATTTTATGTGAGTGAAAAATAAAATTTTAAGCTGTTTCCTAATCTTGGCCTTAATTCTAGAGAACTATCCTAGAAGCCAGAGGTCCTACCATGAGTTCAGGAGCCAGGACTGGAAATAGAGCCCCTGCCACTACTTTGATAATTTATTAAAAGGCTGTGAGACTGCAAATCAGCTCCCTCCCTTCCCCTCCCCTCCTCCTTTCCTCCCTTCCTTCCTTCCCTCCCTGCCTCCCAGTGGTTCTCAGATAACCCAGAGGAATTTATAAGACATGAAAATTTCTGGACCCCATCCTACACCTTTCAAATTATATCCCTTGGCATGAGACATGGCAATCTACATTTTACAAGCAAGTTATTCTACCACAGGTGGTCCACGGACTGTGCTTTAAGAAATCCTGCTTTGTTATCACCATACAAGTTCCCCAAACCCAGATGGTGCTTGTTTCATAGGCTAAAATCTATTGTCTCAGTGGCAGCTTAATCAGGCAACATAATGCACTTATTATTTCAAGTAATATGTGTCAAGCCCTGAACTAGGTGGTGGGAATGAAAAAAAAATGCTTCTATTCTGTACAAGTCACTGTTATTTTGGGTTTCTATATTCTATGGAAAGAAACCTATGGAAAGAAATGGTAATAAATGCAGTGATCACAGTCCAGACTGTGTTAAGGAAAAGATGACCTAAAAAGGAATTTGAATGACTCTAAAGAAACGTAGACAAGCATCAAAATGTAGGAAGAAAAATATTAGCTCATTCATTCATTCCACCTGGACGGAGCACCAGTTTAAGAGATTCAGAGCCTGGTTCATGGTAAATGCTCAATAAGATCTCAACAGCAAGGAGCTAATAATTTGGATAACCCAATGGTCCTTTCCTCTGCAGCGAAGTTTACACTACCAAAAGAGGCATTCAACAGTATTGAATGTAAGTTTACACAAATGATTGAAACTGCTTTCTGTTACTGATTATTTAATACATGAACTTGGTATTTTTGAGCCTCACAGAGCCATCTGATAAGGGGGGAAAGCACTATTATCCACATTACTGCTCCTCTAGACCAATACTTTCATTAAGGTAATATCCATGAAGGCATTTCATTTTTGAAAAGAATGAAGTAGTATAAAATCTATAGTACAGTTAGATTTACTAATGGTATTATTAATAAAAAAGAATTAACTACTTCAGCTTTTTCTATATATAACATTTATGGCAGGCTGTTCTGTATATAAAGTTATTTAGGTAATGGGATCGGATATTCTTTTCTAATCTAGTTTAGTTTTCTAATAGGATCTGCCAGTCGAAATTTCCTTTTCCAATCTTATCTCCCCTGGAATCCTAAGAAGTCGGTATGGCATTTATTTTACTCTCAAAGCCCTCCTGATTACTAATCCACAGCAGGTTGCAGAAAAAGTAAAATATAGAACCACCATGCTTCCTAAATAGCGTATGTGAGTTTTTCAGCCAAACATTCCACCATGATAGAGCTCCATATCACTCTCAGATACTCAATTATGGGACAATGCCTCTGGCTCTAAATGCCCCCAAATTCAGAAACCTCTGGGAAGCATAGAAGTAAGAAAAAATCAATAGT